TTCAAAAAAAAAAAAAAAAATTAGATTCACATTTAAATAATGATAATTTTGTAAATATGTTTTATATAAAATGTATTCATTATTTGACATCAATATGCGTTTTATCTTTAATATAAAAAAATAAAATACAATATATAAGTTTGGGGTCAATAATTTTTTGTTTAAAAAAAGTTAATATTAATAAATCAGCTAGGATGAATTAAATTGAATATTTTGATTTCAAATAAATGCTATATATGTGTATGTGTATATATATATATATATATATATATATGTGTATATATATATATATATATATATATATGTGTATATATATATATATATATATATATATGTGTATATATATATATATATATATATATATGTGTATATATATATATATATATATATATATGTGTATATATATATATATATATATATATATGTGTATATATATATATATATATATGTGTAAATATATATATATATATATATATATAGCATGGCATATATCAGCATTGCATCACAGAAATAAATTACATTTTAAAATATATTCAAATAGAAACCTTTTAATTTGTAAAAATATTTCAAAATGTTTCTATTTTTACTGTAAGAGACTTCGATCATTCTTACTCACTCCAAAATTTTTAACAGTAGTGTATATATTTATCTAAATTCATTTCAAATTTAAATTTAGCTATAATTAAACTTTTTTTTTATTTCATTGTTGAGCCCTGAATCATGTTCCCTAAAGCAATTGATCAGACTTGTAAACAATTAAATGGCAGAGACTTTTTTTTTTTTTTACTTAGGCAATCACCTAGCAACAGCATAGTAATGTGAAGAAAACAGTAATTTTCTTAAGTGTTAACATCTAGTTTCTACTGCTATGGAAACAGATCGAGCTCAAAAAAAGCGAGTGTGCGGGTTTGTGAATGTGAGCTGACACCGTAATTATGTGCGTTAATTAGAGGCCTACTTTCAGCCATCGCTCTAGTGGAGGCAGGTGGAGGGTCTGCGGCCCTCGGGAACGGATACATTTCACCGTCCTGACGGCATAGTGACACGTTTCTACCCACGAATATGGCTGATGAGCTCATGGATTCCAGTAGTGTCAGCGCTCGCCAGTTCTTGTGTTTCCTCCCTCGTTCTGTTCCTCGCCGTATCTCTCACTCCCACATGCGTACCCACACAGTCAAATTGATTAAAGCTTTTCTCCTGAGGGCCACTGCAGTGTGTGTGTGTGTGTCTGTGAGGATCTGATGCAGAGAGGAAAACAGGAATAGATGGAATGGAAAAAAAGAAGCCGATGGGAAAAGCGGAGGAAAGGGACCTGCAGAGGTAGAGAGCTGCCGCCCACGCTTGCCGCCTTAAACGTTTAACAAGCCTCTGAAACAAAACTCATCACTCGTATGATGTGGACAACACTATTACTCACATGTTATACTAGAATATGTGCAAAACACACACGTTTATCTGGTTAAAATGCATGTGAAAGAGAAGAAGAAAGAAGTGTGGATGGGGAGGATGGAGGGGAAAATGGCATGGGGAGGAAATGGACAGGACAACAGGAGGAAATGGAGACGCTGTTTTACCTGGCGTCAGCTTCACTGTAATATTCTCTGGCTACAATGTCTTCAAACAGCTCTCCGCCCGTAACACTGCAGGACAGAGAGAAGATACAGGGACCATGGTCACCATATTCAACTGTGATTATTCAACTTCAGTTTGGTGTTTTACACTGGCACACTGTGCATTCATATTGCAAAAGCATTTGCAGCATGGCATGGAAGAAAAGAAAAAGTCAAATAAAAGGTCAAATAAGAATGCAAACAACACAAAAATAAATGAATTAAAATAAGGAAATATTAAATGAAATGGTAACAAAAATGTATAAATGTACTACTGACAATATTATTAAAATAAACTAATACTAAATAAATACATTAATTAATTATAATAAAATAATTAACATTTGTTAACATTTTTAAATTAAATATTTGTGGACTCAAACAAATATTATTAAATAAAATAAAAAATATTAATAAAATAAATGAAAAATCTGTTAAATTAAATGTTTTAAATTACATAAACTAATAATAAAAATAGGAATAAAACTAACAATAAAAAGCTAATGAATAAATGGTAATAAATATACTGCAATTTTAAAATAAATTCAAATATTACATATAAAAAATATTAAATAAAATATTAATCAATGTAAAACTAATAAATCTAATAATATAATAATGCAAAATATAATTAAATGAATTTTAATACAAATAATAAAATTAAAAAATAAAATAAAATAAAATAAAATACAAATCAAGGAAGTAGCAATTTAACCAAAAGGAATAAATTAAAGGTGATTTGTGTTATTCAGTATTTTTTTCTACAATTACAAGCATAAGAAAAATACTTTATCCTGTGCTAGGTTAGGTCTCGTTTGGTTGACTCCCCTGAAGTGAAAACAGCATGAGAACAGATTGACACAGCAACACTGGCTCAACCAATGGCACAGTCCTTAATTATACTGCAGAGATCACATACTTCACTTCGCAAGCAAATTAAAGTGCAAATGTATCAAAAGTATCAAATAATGTATCAAGAAAAGAATAAATAAATAAAGCAGCATTTATTAAACAAGCACAATTAAGGAAGATAAACTAAAGACAGCGTGGCTGTGCATGACAGGAAAAATAAGCGAGAGAGAGAGAGAGAGAGAGAGAGAGAGAGAGAGAGAGAGAGAGCGAGAGCAGTATGGATGGGGGAATCCTCTAGAAGAGAGAACACTGGGGCTTCGGGGGGAAACCCCTGCTGCAGGATTTCTCTTTGGCTGGGCAGCCCGCCTCTGTTGCTATGGAAACTGGCTCTCGAGCGAGCGGGAGAGAGAGAGAGAGAGAGAAAGAGAGAGAGAGAGCAAGAGATGCGAGGGGAAGGTAGAGTGAGTGGGCGTCTGTTGAAGCGCATCGAGCAAAAACAAAGCAGAGAGAGAGATATTATGCGCCATGTTATATGGAAGCACTTACAGGTCAAATAAGAGGTAATGGAAGCCTTCCTCTGATATACTGTCATGGAGCCGCACTGCATTAAAGAGAAAGAGAGTCATAATATCATGAAACACTTTCATT